TTTAAAAGCTTTAAAAGATCTATTTTTAAAGAATATAGATCTTTTAAAGAATATAGGTCTTCTATATTCTTTAACAATTTATAACTTGATATTAGCAATGTGTCTTTTAAGTCTTTAGAATCATTAATAAGCTTTAAAATATTCAATCAGTAGTTTCTGATTGTTTTTGAAATGAATTCAATGTTAGCTGTGGTGAAAAAACTGAAGAGTTTAAATAGCCTTACCAGATCTTGTGAAACCTTTTTATCACTTTAAAGATTTTTGCCATTTGAATAAACTGTTATATATACATTCTAAAGATTTTTTCCATTTGAATAAACATTTTATAAACTAGAAGGAAACTCATAAATATTATAAAGTGAGCACAGATCACTGATTTCAGAAAATATTGGAAAAATGTTTTAATTTGCATATGTAACATATAATAAATTTTTGTAAAACTTCTAAAATTTTCACAGTGTTTAATTTATGCACCACTTTTGTACTTTGCATGTTTTAATTTTTATTTGTAACTTTGTTAAGACCCTAAAAAATACTTTTTGCATTATACTTATGTGTCATTCAACAAGATGACATTTTTGACATTTTGCAATATAGCAGAATGTCAAAAATCTTATCTTGTTGAATGATGATATTACCAGATGCCTGCACATCTGGTGCTAATCTCAGTTATATTTCATAACATCATTATTAACTCCTTTCAGCATTATTTTACCAATGAATTCAAGATTGCTAAACACCACTGCAAGCAATGAAACCCCAAACCATCAATCATTCTATAATAAAAAGTAAAAATCAAGAATAAAGTATATAATAATATTGCAGCATTTTAATTTTAATAACCTCCGTGTTAGACAGATATTCTCGTGCATATAGGACTTACACATTTACAAATTTTTCTCCATTTGGGTACAATACCATCAAAACTAAACAAACATATTTTTGTTTCACCTGATAATAAATCTCCTAACCAATGCTCAAGAGTCATTTTCAAATTTTCTTTAACCCGAGCCAGTCTTATCATTAGTTTTGTTATTTTTACTCAAAAGACTTTTTTGGGGCAATTCTACTCTAACAATCTTAAGTTAGAGGAATAATACATTTTTATCAAAACCTCTTTGTATACCTTTTGCCAGCTTTGTTAAAGATAGTCTTTGATTTTGTTCAACATTTTAAATAATTAATGTGAATGATAGTCCTTCCTTTTCTCGGGAATTCTTGATAATTTTTTTTTTATATATTCTTTAATGATGTTTTGATAACATCTTTTTATATATATATTCTCTAATGATGTTTTCTACACTATTTAGCTCAACACTTAAGAAATATTTTTTTATCCTTTTCTACTTTTATAGAGTTCAGGATCAATAAGTTGATTGATTACTAAATTTCACTTCTTTTTAAAATGATTTTTTTTATCAAGAATTTAAAAAAAAAATTTGAATAAAATTTATAAAAATTAATTGAAATAACTTTGTTGAATCAAATTTTTTTGTTTACACTTTTTTCTGCGATTTCATCAACCCATATAACAAAAAAGTTCAAAGAATTTTTTAAAAAAAAGGATTTTTTTTTTTTACTTAAACTTTTTCTAATTCAACAGATAATTTTTTTATAATAATAATAATGTAATAATTTCAGAATGTTAATTTTTTTTATAAGTATAATATTATAAATTATAAAAAAACTATAAGGTGGTAATTTTATAAGTAACATAAGGTCGTAATTTTATAAGTAATATAAGGTGGTAATTTTATGTTACATAAGGTGGTAATTTTTGAAGTTTTGAATAGTAATACTTTTCTTAATTTTAAAAATTTTGTAAATATGCAAAGAAGTATAAATACTGTAATCTCACCATAGTATGAAAAGTGAAAAAAAGTTTGAGTTGAAGTTTCTGTTTTAGACAAAATAGGTGAATTTGAGTTTAAGTTTTTCTGGAATTGGCGGGCATGTACTTTTAGCTTGCATAAGTGTTGTTTTTTTAACACATAACACTAAGGTCAGGATAAAAAAGTTGCAATATATAGCAATCAGTTTAGTGCTTAGGGTGGAACCTATTTTTTACAAATGCTTATAGTCTTCAAAAAAATCTTTTATCATCAAAATATTACGTTTTCTAAAAACTTTTGTTTATTAGCCTTGCACCTTTTCTTCATTTAATATACTTGTATATATGTAAATTATTATTTTTTGCCTGGTAGTAAGATGAAAATCACTATGTATTTGATTCTTTAAAGTAAATGGCAAGAGTTATTCTCAGTAAATATATTAACTATAATTGTATTTGATTAGTAAAGATTTCAATTATTACTGTTATTTGCAACTCAATCAAATACATGTTTATTGAGTTACTAAGAGTTACTAAAATTATGTAATATTGAGAATAATTAAGGTAACTATTTGATTACCTCAATGTAAGTGACAGTAATCCAATAAAACGCAAACCATGGCTTTACGCAATATTGACAGGAAAAAAAAAATAATAAATGCAGCTTAAACAATATACTTTTATTATTAAGGAAATTACCATAGGCACATTTTCATTAAGTAAATGTAAGAAGTTCTTCTTAGTGCAACTTTTAGTTTATGTGATATCAACAGGAAAAAAAAATGAAATGAATACAAGTTAAATGAATTAATTATATATATTATAATATTGATTTTACAACTGCTATTATGTTAAAATTATTTTCAAATAAACTTATTTCTATAATTATACTTTATATATTTTCTGTTTATTATCAATGTTTATTAATCTAAACCCCCACTCCCATTGGCCCCTTAAGGTGAGTTTCCACTCATCCGTTTTTTCACAGGAACGAGGTGGGAAAAATAATCACATGAGCATGCATAGTTTTCCTTCAGACATATTAAAATTTATACTACGCATGCTCACGTGATTATTTTTCCCGTCCCTTTCTTGTTTCCGTGAAAAAAACGGATGAGTGGAAACTCACCTTTATTCAGTACAATGTCATCAGTAACATTTCAGGTAGAATTAAGTCTGCAGTATAAAAAAAATATATAAAAAATTTTTATAAATATATTTTATAAAGATGTTTTTATAATTTTAATAAAAGAATAAAAGTGTTACTTGTTCAAATTCTTTATTAGTTATGTTGTACAATAACTTGTCTCTGAAAAAACTCAGTATAGAATCATCCTAAAAAAAAGTGTCAATGATAGAAATAAAATTATATGCTAAACTTTATTAAGTTTTTCTGACTAATTATTTTACTTATGTTGTTATGGGATACAGTGACAGAAAAAAAATTTTAAATTTTGATACTGAATTTCTATGAACTTTCAAATAAGGTTCATATACTTTATTTTCATATACATAATTTTATTTTTTACTTATTATTTTTTATTTGTTACTTCATATACTTAATTTTTTAGTTTCATTCATAACATGATTACATGAAATGCATTTAAATTCTGTATTAAATTTTGTTATTTTTATATCCATTAAAATAATTAAAGAAATTTTAGTGGCATTAGACAGTTTTTTTATTTAACTTAATGTTTGATATCATAAACAATATGCCATCATGTTATATATTAACAATTTTTTTCTTATGCCAACTCAACTAAAAATGTATGTAGCCGATATAGGGTCATACTGTTTCTAAGTGAAATAAAAGTGTAAATTAGTTAATTTTACATCAAATCACCTAAAATTTAGGAAATTTTGAACCATGGAGGATCAAATTTCTTTGGCTTTAACATGGTACAAAAAAAACTGGCAAAAAAAATTTTGGATCCTGAGATATTTCAATTTTAATATTGACCTGGTTCATATACTTTATATTGACCCCCAAATAACCGGTTTTCATAACATTTTGAAAAAACATTTTCCTAAATAAAATGAGAAATAACAATCCAGAACTCAATAAAAGTGCATTTTGCCTGATACAAGTCTTGCACATTCTATTTGTAAATTATTGATGACGTGTATAAGGATCTACTTTCAAAAACTGTTTGCTAAGTAAAAAACAAAGAATGCATGCTTGCACAGTGTTTTGATTGTCCTGATAAAGTATCCATTCCCATAACAGACATTACACACAGTGTAACTCATGGACAAAAAATTTTTGAGCTAATCTTGCCCATACATGGAATAAAATTTCTCAATCTGTCCAAATTACATTTATTTGCTATAATGGTTGTGCAGGACAGTAAAATAATGTAAAAGCTTTTGCTAAGATTATTATAGCTTAGTTGACTTGTGTGCAAATTGGGTCCTAAAGCTAAATATAACACTTTTTTACATATCCCATAGAAAGTAATTATCGGATGAAATCAGCAGTACTGTTAATAGGTTGACAGCGTAAGAAAGTTTGAAATAACTAAAATTAAACCATATTGAAATTATGTTTGAAAAAGCAGAAATGGAAGAAATACAAACTGGATAAAATATTGTGAACAATTACAAATACATTAAAATAACTTACACCTTCAATACCTAAGAAAAATATGGAAAGTATTCAGTAACTTTTTAAATTACAGTTAAATTATCTTTATTGTATTTGCAAATATTCTTTGTAACTTCTTAAAAAAAACTATATACTTTTGAATTATTGTTCTATATGTATTTGTTGTTTTTTCAGTTAGATATTTGGTAACTAAAAATATTAAAAGCAAAAAAAATTCATGGGGGTCTGGGTCTCAAAGTTGAGTCATATAAATTAGTTTTTTTTTAACCTTTCAGCATGTTCTCTTCATATTTTAAAGTAAATTTATTAAATTCTGCATCAAAAAAGTATTATAAGTATTTATTTTCATATTTTTGCAATTGTTATTCCTTATTTTATCAAGAAAAACATTTTTTATTGATGTAATGAAAATCAGGACAAATCTGTTCAACATTTTTAACTGCAATTTTTGCCTACAATGTTTTTTTTCTAAATAGAAATATGTCTAAAGATAAAAGAAAAACGAAGATACATGGTTTAATGGACTGGGTGATTTGATGTGGAATTACCTAAATTCTAATCTAGTTTATGATTGATATATAATCTGATACTCATTTTTCGCATAACTGTGGAGCGCATAATGAGGCTCACATTATTGTGTCACTTATTTAATTAAACGAGAAAGTAGACAACAATTTTTTTTTTTTTTTTTTTAATTATCTTTGCTTCCAACAAGGCTGCAAGCAACCACTAATTAGTGTTGGAAGTTACTGGAAGAGAAAAGATGAAGATTCTAGAGCAAGATAACGATTGACAGACGACTTAAAAGATGACTTAATTGCAAATTATATGAATCGAGAAAGCAAGATGAAGGAAGCGAATTCCAAAAAACTGATGTTCGAGCAAAAAAACTAGACGAATAAGAGTTTTTGGAGCACTTAGGAACAGTAACAGAAAAAGGATGAGACTTAATTGAATGACGAGTAACACGAGAATGAATTTTAGTAGATGGCACAAGAGACGCTAGTTCTTTCGAGCAGTGCCCATTATAGTATTTGTAGAAAAGAGAAAGAGAAGCAACATTACGACGATGTGACAGAGGTTGAAGGTTGGCTGCAAGAGCAGGTCCAACTATGTTTACAATGCGTTTTTGCACCTTGTCTATAAGAAAAAGGGCATCGTTAGAAGATTTGCCCCAGATATGGTAACAGTATTCCATACAAGGCCGGATTTGAGATTTATAGAGATAGAGAATAGAATCCAGAGTAAGAAAGTGATAATCTAGATAAAGAGAAGCAACTTTAGCAGATGCTAATTTTGCAACAGATTTGATATAAGGTTTCCAAGAAAGATCAGAAGTAAGAGTTAATCCTAGAAGATGAAGGGTAGGAGACTCATCGAGTACATTACCGTTCATAAATATAGGAAGGTCTAAACTATTGCGATAACAATTGGCCAAAAAAAATTGAGTTTTATCTGAATTAAAGTTCACCAGCCACTGTAAGCCCCATGCTGTAGCAGAAGTGAGATCCTTTTCAAGCTCAGATGCCCCCTGCAAGCAATCAGAGGGAGTTGGCTTCCTATCGTGACAAGAATAAATGGTAGTATCATCAGCAAACAATGCCACCTTAGATGTGAGAATATCTGGAAGATTGTTAATGTAAATTAAAAAGAGTATAGGGCCAAGGATTGAACCTTGAGGAACTCCTGAGGTTACAGAATAAGAAGAGTGCTGTCCATCAAGGACAACTTTTATACTACGATTGGAAAGGAAGGATTCGATAATCTTAAAGATGTTTCCAGATACACCGTAAGAAGAAAGCTTATGGAGGAGACCAGCATGCCAAACTTTATCAAACGCTTTAGAAATGTCAAGAGCAATGGCCTTAACCTCTCTACCTTTATCTAATGCGCGATAAAACCTATCGGTTATTACTGATAGCAAATCAGCTATAGAACGAGAAGATCGAAGTCCATATTGATGATCAGAAAGTAGGTTATGAGATTCGAGATGAGAGATTAAGTGTTTGTTAATTTAAGATTCAAAAACCTTGCTTATGATAGGAAGAAGGCTAATGGGACGGTAGTTAGAGGAATCGGATTTATATAAAAAATTAATTATGATTCCATTTCAAGAATATTCCATGACATCATGCATTTTTCATTTTTAATAAATTATAATATTTTTTAGTCTGTTTAATACAACTTTGTTATGAATATTTTTGAGAGTCTTTTTCCTCCATAAATTTTTGCTAAAGTTTCTAAATATCAAATTTTTTATTTAATAAAGAAAAATAACTTATCTTGTGTTTGTTGCAAGAAAGAAACAAGAAGTGAGTGGAAAAAAGAATCTAAAATTGCCAACAATGTAAGCAAACTTATATTGTTGCCTTTTTTTTTCTATTTTACTTATACTTAGATTTTATATGAAACTTTTTTTAGCTAGTTTAAAGATTTAAAAAAATACTAGATAAAGAGATCAAAATTTATTTGTTATTATTATTATTATTATTATTATTATTATTATTATTATTATTATTATTATTATTATTATTATTATTATTATTATTATTATTAGTATTATTATTATTATTATTATTATTATTGTAACTGTTATTGTTATTATTGCTATTATTTCTATTGTGTATTATTATTATTATTATTATTATTATTATTATTATTATTATTATTATTATTGTTGTTATTATTATTATTATTATTATTATTATTATAGATAAAGAGATCAAAAAGACCATCACAGTTTTGTTACATAACTCATCAGATTATGATGGTGCATAGAACGAATACATAACAAATAAGTTGGAAATTTTATGAAAAGTTTTTATGTAATTGTGTATTTATGAATAAAATTATAAAGAAATGCAAAAGGTATAATATTTCGCTTTTCAAGTTTTATAACTGTGGTTATGCATCTGTATTCATATAAGATATAAAAAAGTCATTAAACTAGTTTACATATGTTTTTTGCACACGAAGTCCATTTAAAACTTTCCTGTAGTAATGTAGTTACTACTTATTTAGTGAGGTGTACGATGATATAAGCATTACAGCCACACATGGATCATACTAACACCATACCATAAAGTTCAGCTTTTCTGATGAGCCTTTATTGATGAAACACTGTGTAAAATGAAAAAAATTTGAAAAGTGATTTTCTATTATTTTATTATTGATCTGTTCTTTTAAGAATTTGAGCACTCTATTTTGTAGAATACATTTAAAATTATAAAAAACATTGAAAAAATATGATATAAACAAAAAATCTTGTATTACTCCCTTTTTTCAATTTTTAGTAAAAAAGTATCATTTAATTTGCAAAAAAGTCTAAAATTATATTTTTTTTATAAAATGATTATCACCTCTTAACTTTTATCCAATTTAGCTTTGTTTAATACCCAATAAGACATCATTTTGAAATTTTTTTTTTAATATTAGGAGACCTTAAATGCCTAACCCTTAGTAAATGTAGCAGCACTTCTTTGCAACAGCAGGAAATAAAATGATCAATTTATGTATTAAAGCCCCTGACAGCAAGCTAATTCAGTGTGACTTCAGAGATATTATCTAAACACGCATTCATTGTTATATATACCATCCATAACTATTATATTCAATTTATTTCCATAACTCTTCAAATGGTTATACTTTTCAAAGTTTTACTTACTATTGGGAGAGAAACTAAAATGACCAGAAAAATAAGCTATTTAAACTAATGATTAAGTTATGTAATAAAAAATAAAAAATTAAATTACTTTATAATTTACTCTCATCTATGTAGCCAAGAATATGTAGCCTACATATTCTTGATATTCTACTTAACAATTTCTCCAATTTATAAGTCAATTTTATGCTACTCACTTTTAAGTTTTTTACGCATATCTTTTGCACGATTAGGCAAAAAAAAAAAAAGCTTTTAAGTTTTTTCCACATATCTTTTGCAACATTAGGCATTTTTTAACATTCCTTTTTAGTTTATTCCATAAAAGTTTAAAAGGAGAGATATCTGTTGTTAGGGGAGGCCAAATCATTCAGCTCAATACTTGATCATTCTTTAACTCAAGTGATTTCTACAAAATTTTCAAGAATACTTTCGATGGTTAGCTTCTTGTAAAAATGTATGGCATAACTTTTTAAATGTCCAAATACACTTCTTTCATCATTTTTTCCTCTATTTTTATAATGTCATCTGTAGTATTTCCACCAAAACAGCCCCAAACCATAAAACTATCCCCACCATGTTTCAGTTGGCAACACACATTATTCTATTACCCATTGACCAACTTTTCTTTGAACAAATGATCTTCTGTTAGAATCAAAGATTTGAAATTTTGATTTGTCTGTCCAAAGAATACATTTTTAATCATTGATGGTCCATTTTCCTGTAGTTTTGCCTGCTCTAGTCTTTTTTATTTATTTTGGAAAAATAATTAAAAAAGAAAGTCTAAAGGAAAGATTTTCCTTGTAGCTATTCTGTCAAGCCCTGCTTTAATCAATTGCCTCTTCACCATTGTAACAGATACAGGAACTCCTTTTTTCAAAGTATAGGTTAACTCAGGAGCTGCTAACAATCTATTTCTTTTACTAGTTATTGTTGTTCTTCTGTCTTCGGTGTCAGATGTAATTTTGACAACATCCCAATCTTTTTTGATTTCACTTTTAGTTTCTTTAATATTTTTATAATTATCTAAACTATTTAACTCAAAATCTCTAATTTTTTTTTGCTGCTTGACCCATAAATATTTTTCTTGTCATAATGTGAATACTGCAGGTATATATATATATATATATATATATATATATATATATATATATATATATATATATATATATATATATATATATATATATATATATATATATATATATATATATATATATATATATATATATATATATAATATATGTTATATATATATATATATATATATATATACCTGCAATATATATATATATATATATATATAATTTGCAATCAAGTCATCTTTTAATATATATATGCAGGTATATATATATACATTTGTTTTCAAACAATTTGTTTTCAAAACAAAATACCTGAAACAGGAAAAGTTGTATGTGGTGTACTTCAAGGATCAAGAATATTAGGTCCTTTACTTTTTGTTATTTACTTTAATGACCTGGTATCTTGTTTGAAACATACATATTATTTATGGTGACGACACAGTCATAAACATTCCTGGAAAAGATATATCTACTATAGAATGGCACCGTTCATCTGATATGGAAGAAATCTCAAAATGGTGTTTGAAATAATTAAAGTGACACAGTCATACACGCTCCTGTAAAAGATATATTTGTTATAGAACCACGTCTTTCATCCAATCCGGTCCATCCACGTCATTCATCCGGAAGAAATCTCAAAATGGTCCTTTACATTTTGTTATTTACTTTAATGACCTGCTAGCTTGTTTGAAACATACAAAATCTATTATTTATGCTGACAACACAGTCATAGACATTCCTGGAAAAGATATATTTACTATAGAATTGTGATTAGAAAAGATATATTTACTATAGATTTTTTCCTTTCATCCAAAAAGGAAGAAATCTCAAAATGGTGTATAATAAACTAATACTCAACTTTGGAGTTGGTAAAACAGAATCCATGTTGTTTGGTACAGGAGAATCTCTTTTAAGACAATCAAACACAATGAACATTTCTTAGATATAAATACCTTGGTATCGTCCTCTAGACATGAGTAGTTATTTAAACAATGCTATAAAAAAGCTTGTGGCAGACTAAGACTACTTTAAAAATTTAGATATTTATTAACACCTCAGAATGCATTTACCAGTTGACTAATATCCATTTTATATATGGACTAATGTCCATTTTAACCTATTGTAGAAATCTTTGCCTCAACCTACCAAAATCAAAAACAGATAAGCTGGATTCTTTGTATACACGTGCATCTTGTATAACAAATGCAAACAACAAGAGAAAGTGATCACAAAATTACCATTCTTGCAAATTCTTATTGCATATTGTCTACTAATAAAGCAATCCATTCTTGGTTCTTTGTCAACCATTCATAAGCAAAAAAGAAATAAGTGTAACCTAATTAAAATTCCAAAAATCTGACATGAATTTGCTGAGAACTCATTCTATTACTCTGGTACAAAGACCTAAAACGATCTACCATTAGAATTTAGGAAAATCAACTTGTGGAATGAATTTTAAATTAAGTTAAAAATTCATTTTTAAATTTTGTTTTTTTTTTGTTTTTTTTTTGTTTTTTTTTTTACAACATCTCTAATAACCTTATTACCTCAGTTAGCTATTAAACTTTAACATCAGTTAACAGTTAAAATTAGATTTTAACCTCAGTTAACAGTTAAATTTTATTATATTTTATAACAGAACTTACATTGATAACAGAATCGTAATAATTTCTGAAGTAATTTATCCTGTATAAATGTTTGTCAAATAGAACATATTTAGGGGGTGGCAGCAGACAATTTCAAAAAAGTTGTTTTTAGAGGTACTCATATATATGTATATATATATATATATATATATATATATATATATATATATATATATATATATATATATATATATATATATATATATATATATATATATATATATATATATATATGAGTGCCTCTAAAAACAACTTTTTTGAAATTGTCTGCTGCCACCCCCTAAATATGTTCTATGTAATAAATTAACACTAAAAAGTTCTTCAAAAGTATATCATGTTGGGTCTCAAAAGAAGTGAAATTTTAAAAAAATTTCAAAAATAATATTCACTACTTTTACTAGTTTAAATTTTATGGTTTAAAACCTATCATTTTTTAACAAAAAATAAAAAGTACATATTTTCAAAGTTTTTTTTTAGATATACTTTTTTAATTTATGTTTTCATAGATTGTTTTTTATTTTTTTTTTTTAATTTTTATAAAATTTCACTTTTTTTGAGACCCAACATGATATACTTTTGATGAATTTTTTTTTTTCAAAATCTTAGGGACCCGTTTGATGTTTAAGGGTCTTGAGCAACCCCTAAAAATTTTTCTATTCAAAAATTTGTTTAATTTACTGTTAGTTTATTACGTAGAACACACACATATGTGTGTGTATATATATATATATATATATATATATATATATATATATATATATATATATATATATATATATATATATATATACTTACAAAATAGTGTATTGAAAAAAAATATATATTTTATATATTTTTTATTTGGCCAACAAATAGTTTTCACTTTATTCATATTGGTTATAAACATTAAGTTGTCAACTAAAAAATAAGTAACTAGAAAATATCTAATTATCAGTGGATATTCAAAAAATAAATTTGCTAATGAAAATATATTTATTAAAACTATAAAATCTAAAAAAAAACATTAAAAAAAAAAAAAAAAATTCAAAACAAAATTAATACCTCAGTCAATACTTTGTTTGATGTTTTTAGTGATGTGATATCTTTTATAATTTTCAGTATAGTTTTCAGTAAGTCTTTAATATGAGGTTTAAGTACAAAAGAAGAAAAAACCTACAAAAAAAATATTATAAAGTGTGAACAACAAAAAAAAGCATAAGAAGCCATTGTACCAAAATCAAAATCCTCAGTCAATGTATGTACACTTAGATGTGCACTCTGAGACACAAACCCTTACAATAATTGAGATATGTGCTTTTTGCACAAAAATAAAATTAAAAAAAAAATCATATCAAAAGTAGAAAGTATAAATATAAAAAAAAAACTTTATTTTTCAAGAAAAAAAACATGTTAGTCATTAAAATTTTTATTTTCAAAATAAAATTAGATTTAAAAAAAAAATTGCAACTAATGTAATGGATTTAATTTTTAGGTAAAAATAATTGCTACATTTAGAGCAAAATTGTAGTTGTAAGATGTTCTGAGTCTATTTAACTTACCATGCAAAAAATTTTGCATATAGTTCTTTGAGAACTATACACATGTGTAGTTTTTAAGTCTTTTAAAAAGCTTAAAGTAATCATTTTTAGAATCAGTTTAAAAGTATTAGTTTTCTAAATAATTGAATTATGCATTTTATGAAAACATCAAAATTAAAAATTAAAAAGATAAAAATCATACAGAGGTAATTCTTTGTATAACAAGATTTGTTTTTTGATTATTTGGTGTGTACAAGATTTTTCCATTTAATATTGACATTAAAAACTCAACTGTTTCCATATTGTCATTTGACAAAATTTTCAAACTTTCAATAACCTCTTTCGATTTGATTTTGCAGATAGATTGATCATCTAAAAATTATACATCAGAAATAAATAAAATAAGAAATAAAAAAGCATAAACTAACATACATATCTAAACTAACAGTCTTTTCCGATAGGTTTCATAAGTGGCTCTTCCTCTAAATCATTTTGCTCAGATGAAGATGAAGATGAAGTTGAAGGGTAATATTCATGATTACACATCAAAGATTTCAAATAACGATTGTCATGCCAATGATTTGCAAATTCAATTCCTGGATCAAAATATTTCTGATACTCATAAAATTTTGAGTATATTCCCTATAAAAAAATATTATATATATATATATATATATATATATATATATTATATATATATATATATATATATATATATATATGTATATATATATATATATATATATATATATATATATATATATATATATATATATATATATATATATATGTATGTATATATATATATATATATATATATATATATATATATATATATATATATATATATATATATATATATATATATATATATATATATATAAGATCAGAAAGGGCTTAAGCTTTCTGATCTCATGATATGCAGAAAGCTTAAGAATTCTTAAGCTTTCTGCATATCATGTAGCGCTTGTAATCTTGCTGGTATTCAATCCACTAAATCTTCTGTGGAAGTGAAGAAATATTTTAGCTGGGTTCAGTTGCTTTACAATCTTTTTAGTATTAGACCATAACAGCTGAATTGTTCCATGATCAAACCTCATAAGCCCGTTGGAGTGCACCATTATGACAATGAAGTTGTTAGCTAAGGAACACAAGGAAATCTTTGTATTTTTTCAGAAGCTTCATGATTTTAATCTAACTGCTAATTAATAAATTGTAGTAAAGTTTCTGATAAAATGGATTCAGTCAGTTGAATTTTTCAGCTTGACAATCTTCTGGTTCAAAAGTCTTCAAGACGTTAACTTTGTCAGTGTCTCAGAAAATATCTCCTTAGATTATAAGATAAAACTTATGAAGACTCATATTGAGGATTTCACCAGATTGCACTCTTTTTGGCCCAACTTTATTAATAAAGCTCATTTGATTGTCTCTGATCTAGCATTTTATGGTTCATAATCAAAAGTCTGAAAAAATGTATGCATTTTCAAAATAACTTTTGTTTCTACTGCGCTGAAGGTCAGCAGTCTTTCAGTAAGTTTGGGCTAATCAAGACAACGCTAAGATCTAAAATAGAGAATAAATCAACTTACCAATCTTCAAGTTATTTTAATTGAGCATGATCTTGCAAAACATTATGCTAATATTATAAGACAGCAACTTTGCTATGAGTAAAAGATATAATCAATTATTTTGAATTAGACTGTAGAACAGCTGATAAACTGCAGTTACTGGCAAAATTCAAATGTTTGGTAGTTGTGGTGCTTGTTTATACTTTTGGTATCTTATGAGTTGGTATCTTTTACATGATTGTATTGCAAAATTCCAACAATAAAAAATTGTCCTAATCTATAATTAAACTGTTCTTGAGATTTAGGACAAATAAAAGTCTCAATTTTTTTCGTCTTTAGAGTGTTCATTAAATTCCTCATAAATCAAAGAGATCTGATGGGCATTAGTAAAATTTTGATACATATATATACATATATATATATATATATATATATATATATATATATATATATATATATATATATATATATATATATATATATATATATATATATATATATATATATATATATATATATATATATATATATATATATATATATATATATATATATATATATATATATATATATTTAAATAACATTAAAATGTAGCTTAATTGATATGATTAATATGATCTTAATTGTTGAAAGAGACTTTTTTTTACCAAAAAAGTTTATTTAGACTTCGATATAAGAATATATATACAATCTGACATCACTTTATTGGTTAGTTTTTTATTTTTTTTTATTTTAGCTAAAACGACTTGCAGATTTGCATGATTAGTACCAACTTCTTTAATTATGTTTATAAGTTGTATCTTATTATGTTTAATCAACAACAACAAAAAACTTGCATGAACTTCTGTATGATTTCTCTTTGCAAAAAAATATTTTCTGAAAACAATGTAGTCTTAAACTTCTTTTACATAAAAATGTTTTAGTATACATGCAGTTAATATTTATTTTAAAGTAAAAAGATTGAATAAAATTCACAAAGTTACTTTTATACAAAAAGAAAGAATCTTTGTCCATGGTATTGGCAGTTTAATTATTTTTTTTATTTGCAGCATTAATTTATCTTTTTTGATAAATGTTTATCAACACATAATAAATTCTCATTAAATATTATTTCGTAATTTTACAATAACATTTTGATTAAATAACTCTAGGAAGAAATTTAAAAAATTACCTGAATAAGAAAAGGATCTTGATTAACTTCATAGTTTAAATTTTGAACTGTGGTTTTGATATTTTGAATGAACGATAAATTCTGTTAAAAAAAATAAATGGAAATTACTCTTTACAAAAATGAAAAAAAAAGTTTTACATAAAAATACTTCTTTAACAAAATAATACCGTTAATGCTGTGATAAAACTATTGTCATTCATTAGGATGTGTAAGGCGCTTAACACATGCTCAAAATTTTTACAGATATTTGATAGAATCAAACTCTATTTAAAAAAAAAGTAAATTTAAATTTAAAAAATTCATGCATTCACCTAATTATTACAAGATTTTTAGATAAATTTAAACTGTTAAGGAAATCAATTTTTGTCATTTTTGTAATTATTTATGTAGTGATGTCCATGGTTTTTATGTTTCATGTTAACTAAATAAGAGATTTGAATTTTTTTAATAAAATTAACCGTATTAGTTTGTTTGTTTTCTTTAAACCCCTCTAGTAAAAACTGCTTGAAAAATGAAATAATGCTCTGGAAAAAGTAACTTGTTGTAAAAAAATGTAACTAATTGAAATAATAGTTTCTAGTGATGTAATTAGAATAAGTTACCATACATTCAGCAATCAGAAATAAAACTTTCAGAATGTTGAGTTATTCACCAAAATCAGTATTAATTCAAGACAAAACTCATTATGGAAAAAAAAATAATTATTGGAAGTTTCAAGTTATTGAAACTTCCAATAATTATATTTTATTTAACAATAAAAAAGAGTATTGCAAAATATTTGCAAAATGAAAATTATTTTGTGAAGCAATTAAAAAAAAGATTGCAAAATTAAACACAAATAAAAAATAAAACTTTTAACATTAAATAGCTTGACACATTAAAAATATAAGAATACCAATGATAATATTGATAGAAAATTAAAATTTATTTAAAGAAAATCTTTAAAAGTTTAAATTTAACTATTAATTTGATTTTTTAGTTCAATATTAAAGCAACTGTAATAACAAAAGATTCATATTAATGAATTCAATAAAAACAAAAACTTGATGAAAATAAACCTGATCTTGTAAATACAAACATGAATGTTAAAATGTACACAACATGAAAACAAAACTGAATGTTTTATGGTAACACGATATGTCTTTCATTTGGATTTAAATGATCATGATATAATTGGAATATAAAGAAATTACTTAAATTTTATAAAAACTATAATTATCCACAGCTAAATTATCCACAGATTACAACTTTACTTACTTGAAATGTTAAATCTCAAGTAAACTAAATAATGACGTGTGGTAATGGAAACAGCAGGGGTGTAATGTAGGTGAAATAAAAGCTTTTTAATTTTATTTTTTAAACATTTTTCTTTATTAATTTTCTTTGTTAAACATCAAATAAATTTTTTCGTACATTATTTTTTTGTTACTTTAATTAATTAACTCACTTTTTAAAGCATATGCTCCAAAAAACAACCTAGTTTGGAATTCTAGGGTTTGTTTAAAACAACATTTCAACAAGCAATATATATGCTTGCACATACACATGTACATATGTACAAGTATATATATATATTGCCATCATTTATACTTTGATAATGCCATAGGAAATAAATTAAATTTTAGCTTTGTGTTTCATTTGAGTAATTCTCTTTCAATAAAATTATAGATTTACCTAAAAAATACTAAACTGATTCTAAACTTTTGCAAGAGAGTCATTTTCAATAAATTATGGATTTACCTAAAAGATGCTAAACTGATTCTAAACTTTTGCAAGAGTATATTTAAATCTGACAATAAATGAAAGTTTACAATTAAAGCCAATTTCTGTTGTATTTATAATATCTAAGGTGTTAGAAAAAAAAATTTCAACAAATAAAGATCTATTAAATATCTAGATGATAACAATTTATCATGCAACCACTAATTTAATATTAATCTAAGCATTCTATAGATCTTTAAAAAGATCTAATTTTATAGAATTAGATCTTTATATAGATCTTTAGAATGCTTAGATTTAAAGTATTAATTAAATATTTTACTGATGTCAGAAAAAATACTGATAAAGAACTAAATGTCAGGACTGTTTTTATTGACTGAACTTGATTTTGCTGAATGATCAGTCAAGCAAGAATGAGTTTTGATTAATTGAACTAGAGATGAGTTTTGGTTTAAAGAGAAATAGATGCAACTGTACAACAATGGGAGAAAGGCCTAAGCTTGGTAGATAAAGCAGATCAAACTTCATTTACAAAGCTACTTTAAACCTTGAATAAAAGAGAAAGAACATCATTAGAAAAACCAGCTTGAATACAGTATTCCATACAGAGACAAATAAGAGATTTGTAGAGGTAGAGAATGGAATAAGGAGTATGATAATGGCAACCTTAATAAAGAGAAGCAACAATTGCTAATTTTGCAAACAATTGTATATATGATTTCAATGAGAGGTCAGTAGTGAATGGTGATCCAAGAAGGCACAAAAAGAGGACTTTCAGAAGTTACTGGAAATGAAGAAGAGTGTTGGTTTTTAAGGATGACTTTAATAAAGTGAAAGAATTAAGTTGATGATCTCAAAAATTTTCCCAGACACACTATAGGAAGCAAGCTTATAGAGAAGACCAGCATGCCAAACTCTATTGAAAGCTTTAGATATGTCAAGAGCAACAGCCTTTGCTTCACTGCCTTCGTTTAGTACACAATAGAATCTTCCAGTCAGACCAGTTAGCAAGTCAGCTGTAGAACAAGAACCAAATTGATGTCAGCTGTAGATCAAAAACCATATTGATTGTCTGACAGCAAGTTATTTGACACAAGATGGGATGTTAAAAATTTGTTAATTAAAGTTTCAAAGACCTTGATAATAATACAAGACTGATGGGACAATAGTTTGAGGGGTCAGAATGTCATTCAGAGTTTTTAAAAATTGGAACCACAGATGCCATTTTCCAGCAGGCAGGAAAACAATACTCAGTTAATCACTTATTAAATAGTTTAGAAAGAATTAAAGTGAGTTCTGGAAGTTTCATTCTACAGCTCATGTCTGGACCATGAGCTGTAGATGAGTTTAATTGAGATATGACTTTAGCAACAGGAGCAAGAGTGATTTGATTGTCTAACAATGGGTTAACTGAAAATGATAGGAAAATTATAGTTTAACTGAAAATGATAGGAAAATTATGGTCATTAGATTAAAAGTCAAATTAGAAGAAAAGATCTCTGCAAATAGTTCTGATTTCTCCTTGGGAAAAGTAATAAGATCAGTCCCATGAATTAGAGATGAATTAGAGAGACTTACCATTGTTAATAACACCTGCTGTTAAAGATTTCCCAAAAGTCTCTAATGTCTAACTTTTGAGATATCATTAGCAATATAGGAATAAGCATTAGACAGCAGAGAGAGAGAGAAAAAATACATAAGCCCAAGGACCATAACAAAGAAAATAATAAAAAGAATCTCAAGGAGCTGAAGGGTTGTGGTAAGTAATGTAATAACAGAATGAGCTCAAAGAAGAAGTATGAGATAAATTACTTCTAATAATAATACTAAGAAGTATAAGCCATTACTTTATTATACTTTGGGCATAGTTTAAGTTTAAAGAGAACTTGACTCATTCATAGTTAGCGCAAAGCATCCAAAGCAATAAGCTATGCAGTTGTCTCAGTCCTGCTAACTAACCCTGAGTTGTAACTTAGGTCTCCTTATGTAGCCTCAACAATCCACACAAAAACACTAACAGGAACACCATGCACAACATGGCACTGTTAATACTCTGGTATTTTGAAGCTGTTGATAGAATCAGCCTCTTTGAGAGCTACCACAGAGTTAATGAAACCTTAAAATACAGTAAAAGTATTTGGCTTTACAATACAGTGTATGTGAGCTGGTCTTAGAACCATTAAACTGAGTTTTAGATCTGTACCCTCATTAGGAGATAACAAGAAGAGTTGCATAACCACTATCAAGGAGGCACAAGCAAAAACCAATAAGTAGAGTCAAGAGGATCCAGCATACATCATCATAGGCAGGAAATAATTTGACACAGTTTTACATTTATTCCAGCCTAATAGATAAAGAGAGGGTGCAAGGCAGGTAGTACTGGGTTACGTAAAATCAGTAGCAGGTTGATCATGATTATCCTGAACCTGACCTGATCAGGAGTAGTTAAAAGAAGATACTTCCTGTAAACAGTATTTTTAAAAATTGAATGGTGATATTTTGGAAATGCATTAGGAATAACATTACATCTAACAGAATACTTGAATTTAAGTTGAGCATAAGTTTTAGTGTTGGAGTCACTAGTTTGTAACTGAGCTCACACTACATCAGAGATTTAAGCAGAATCTAAACTTAGATATAGTACTTTTGGGTGAGAAATCTAAACAGAATCTAAACATAGATTTAGTAATTTTGTAAAACTTTTATAGTTATACAAAATGACAATGAAAGAGATTCATTACTAAAATTTATGTTCTTGGCCACTGTTGCAAGACCAAGATTTGATCAACATACAAATAAATGATTTAATAGAAAGATTATTATTTGGGCATTTTTGAAGCAAGAGCCTGCAAAGGTAAAAACCAAAGAGAACATTAGTTACAAGAATAATTGTTGTAGATAAATTTGAGTATGGCAACATGTTTTTAAATAAAGATTTACCAAACTTTTTTTAAACAAACTGCCCTAGCCTTTAATTTTTAAAATAGACATAAGTTTAGCAACCCTAAAGATATTGATTTGAAACTTAGAGAAAACAAGCTTTTCCATAAAGTCTACAGAAAATGTAAATTTAAAAAAAATCTTTAGATAATGACTAATGAAATTTTCAAAAATTAGGCTTATTTGATAAAGAATAACCCTTTAATAATTTTGGTGATAATTGCTTGACAATGCTGGTAATGGTTCCTAATAACTCTGTAAATCATTTTAATAACTTTGGAAACAACCATTAACTTTTTTAATTTAAAGATTAACTTTGGGAACAACTATTTAATAACTATATAAACAACTTCGAGTGTAAACAACCCCTTAGTTTAAAAACAGCAGTTCGTAAAACAATTAAAACAGTTCAAATGCTATAGTAACAGAGAACAATGCAAGTATAGTCATTGTTAACACACTAATCAATATAATTATGATGTCAACCAATCAATTTAATTATGTTGTCAACTTAAACAATTAATGTGATAATGTCGTCAACTTAAACACACCAATTAATGTATTTATGTTGTCATATTAAACAATCAGTAAAAACTTTATGTTTAGTATAAAATCTACAGTCAACCTGTCAGTAAATGTCAATAATATCAAGATTTACTTTAAAAATGAACATTAAAGAATTGAATCCTAATTTATATACAGTTTTAATAATATATTGATAAAATTTACTTTGTTAAAAGAACTTGGAAATGCTAGCACATTAGCTAATCTGTCATTAGAACAAAAAAACAATTTTGGTTTCTAAACACAAAAAAGCAAATGTTTTGTAAACTTTATAACAATTGTAAAATTTAATATATACTATATAACTAATATATAACAATATGTAGAAGTTAAACTAATAAAAAATAATTATAATATATTTTTAAACAAAATAAAAATAAAAAAAATTTTTAGATTTTTACTTTTTACTTTGTGTACAAATAAAAATAAAATTGAAGTATAATAAAGTTTAAATTAATAGAAAAAAATCTGTAGCATTTATTAAAACATCTAAAAAACACATATTGAAATAAAAACTAAAATAATGCATATAAATATATAAAAAAAAGCTAAATTTAATATAATTTTATAGAAAACAAAATTTTTCTTGACATTATTCAGTTTTTTTATTTTCTCAACAACTTGGTTTTGTTTTTCTATGTTTTAAACTTTAATCAAAACAATAGTAAATCTTTAGTAAAAACTTTAAAAGATGATCATCTGTATTTTAAAATGAAACTAGATTACTCTTTATTTATGATTATTATAAAATTTTAGGATGTCACAAATCCATGAATTGTTTTAATTCAAGCAAAAATTTATAAATACAACTTGTTATTGTTAGATTTGCATTTTTAGGTACATCAATACTAATAACAAATTAAAATCAATACAGTTTTTTTAAATTGCCGAAAAATAAAATTTTTCAAGTTATTTAACTTTTAATCAGCTATATTATTAATTCAATCAACTTGATAGCAACATCAATCCTGGCTGTTGATGTATGAGCTATAGATTAATAACCTAATTTATAGATCACCTAAGCTAATACCTTTTAATACCCCATACAGATAAACCAAACAATATCCATATATGTACACCAATCCCTGTGGACATATACACCAATCTCTGTGGACAAAAAAAGTTATTGACTTACGTCAATAACTTTTTTTGCTTTTTCATTGTTATCATATATATCTTCAAAGTTTCAGTCTGGTTAGTTTTTTTTTTTATTTTATTTTATTATTTTTTTTTTTTTTTTTTTTTTGAAAAAAGTAAAAAGGGAATAAAAAAAGAAAAGGTTCTAGGAAAAAGTTTCTCTACAAAGCAATTACAAAACTAATCCAAATAAGTTATTTAGTACAGAAACTATTACAAAACAAGTTGTTGCAGCCATGCTTTTGTTGCAAATTGATACTATGCTAGATATTATGGCTAATGATTTTGTTTGAATACTTAAAAATGTTTAGCCATCAACTTAAAAATGTTTAGCCATCAACTTAAAAATGTTTAGCCATCAACTTAAAAATGCTTAGCCAACAACTTAAAAATGTGTAGCCATTAACTTAAAAATGTTTAGCCACCAACTAAAAAATGTTTAGCCATCAACTTATAAATGTTTAGCCATCAACTTAAAAATGTTTAGCCATCAATTTAAAAATGTTTAGCCATTGTTAAATATGCAATTAATCAAATTCACAAACAATTATAAGCAATGATTGCCAATTTTTTATGAACTGTGAGTATCATATTTAGTTGAGCAAACTATATGTAACTTGAACATTTACAAAACTGTATTAGAAGTGCAACAGGTGGAATTGCAAACTCAAATGGAAAAGACAAGTAATTTTAACTGTGGATAAAAAACAAAAATTCTGAATAAAACACATCTGTGGTGTTCTACTCGTTTTGTAAATTTTTTTAAACGCTTCTAGTGTCACAGCTTAGTGGCAAACCTTTGGTATTTTTGATTAATTTTTTTTTGTTTGTTTAATTTTTTGAATGACATTTCAATATCCTGAATGATATGAAGGGTGTTTAAGGGTGTTTAAGTTGCTGAATCACATTTTAATGTTTATTCCTGAATCATACCAAACAGAACTTTGTTGAGATAACTATACTCACATTTTTACATCTTTTACCTGAGTGACAACTTGAAATTCACATATAAAGTGCATAATTGTTTTTCAAACATTTATCTTGTTAAATGCAGCCATTTTAACATACATAATTTTTAATTCAGCAAAAGTACCTTAAATCTGAATTAAGCAAAAAGCCTAGCATAGTTTAGCTGAATTAAGCAAAAAGCCTAGCATAAGAAACATTGTCAACAATTAGTTCACAATGCTTGGAACAAAATACTATTTAATTAATATTTATTTAATATTTTGGATTATGTTCACGCTCTGATCTATTTCCAATAATTACTTCTATTTAATTAGTTGAGTATCTCAACACAAACAGTAACAATAAATCAACTACTATCAACAAAGTTATTCTCTAAATCTGATGTTTTTTATCCTCCTGATATGCAAATTAATAAATTTATAAAGCAACAATTTTTTGAATTTGTTTTCAAGTTTTAAAATATTTTTACAGTTGGTTTAAAAATGTGTAAACTTCAGTAACAAAAATGTTTCATTAATGAGTCATTAATGAAACACATTCTTGTTACTAAAGTTACACAGATGTGTAGTTCCAATTAGAAAGGTAGAAGTACTTCGAGGTCTGGAGCAGCTAGCGAGCTGTTTTTAAGATGTTACTAATTGAAACTTTATTGAAAATTGAAATAAATATAGTCATTAACAATGACTATATTTATTTCAATTTTAAATAAAGTTTCATTAAGTAACGTCTTGAAAACAGTTCACTAGCTGCTCCAGACCTCTAAGTACTTCTACCTTTCTAATTGAAACTTCTACACATCTGGTACTAGATATAATCAATTTTTTAGCATATGAAATTGAAGAACTAATGTTGATGATAGGGCTAAATGAATGAATCAGTTGTTGCAAAAAAAAAACATTTATGTATCAGATATATTAGGCCAACCTAACCTAGTAGAACTAGGTTAGGCAACCAGACCAAAGATGAAATCAATGCAGCAGGATGCATTCATGGAGACAGTTATTGAAAAATCTGGTAGTGATCTATCTAAGGTTATTTCTTCAATATTACTGCATTTAATATTCATAAGATTTAAGTGAAATGTTAAAATGTATGTGTGTTTTACAAAAAGAGATTATTTAAGAGTTTTTTAAAAAAAAATGATCATATAAATGATTTATAGGTACAGAATAGGGGGGCAAATTAAGGGGGCAAATTAATTTTGTTAAATTCAATTTTGTTAAATTGAGGTAAATTAATATTTAGTGGGGTATTTTTTGAGTAAATAACTACTTGACAACGATGGCCAATTGACAAGATAAATTAACCCAAGTAACCTTTATTTAGATTTAAATTTTAGTAAATTTTTGATGTCTGCACAGCCTTATGGCTGTGCAGACATCAAAAAATTAACCTCGTTAGCATTAAACTTTAACACTTTTGGTGATGTGCTTGGGGTTGTTGTCTAAATGGAATTTCCAATAAAATTTATACATTTATAATTTTTTTTAAATTTTAAGATAAAAAAATAAAAACAATAGTATGTGCTCCATTATATGGTTAGATATCCAAGTAACGGTAAATTTTTTTTCACTTTTGTATATTTATTATTTTTATTTCGCTTCATATTTTTTGCATACTTGGATATCTACCCTCATAAATGAAGTACACATGAAGTATACAGATATCTACCCTCATAAATGAAGTACAGTTATCTCTACTTTTTTTGCTTGGAATTGGAATTGACAGCCAGTCCATTGCTTCTTCAAGCATATTATTTTTACAAACTATTTGGTAATAGTCTTAATTGCAATAATAACTTTAATCATTTTTTAAACACATATTCATCATTTTGTTGCACATATTGCAAATAAATTTTGTTTTAATTGGCTTATGCTTATCTAGTTTGTCAGCCTAATAAAGAAGATTAGTGTGATGAAGCAGTTTTCGTCTTTCATTCGATAACAATCCTGTAGAATATAAGGTTAAAGTGTGCTATTTAGACATCTTATTTCTTAACAAATCTTTATGCAGTTGATTGAAAATTCAAAATAATTTTAAATAAAGTTCATATTAAATAAAGCCACTTCTTCAATCTTTGAAACATCTAAAAGTTTTCACAAAGTACAATGAGGCTTTGTTTCAAAAACTCATTTTGCCTCAAAATACATTTTTACAGGAGTAAAAATTTATTTTACAAAATTTACATTCAAATGCTAAATTTAGACTAATGAGTATTTAATTTTAAAATTTTCTAAAGTCGCTGAATTTCAATTTCTCCAAATATCAGCATTTTATAAAACTTTATAGACCTTATTGTAGAGCTGCAATAAGGTATTTAGCTAGTGGTGCAAGATGTAGGTAAACAGCAAAGGCAATAGATCTAGATGGATACTAGATAGCCTACATCCATTAAATCAAAAAAAACCTAAAATTTCCCTCATTACTAAATGGTCTGGATCTGCCCCAAGTAAACGACACATCTTATTTACCAAAAGTTTAAAGCATTTTGGCACACAGGACTGTTCTTTTTTCAATTAAATAATTGTTAAGTTTATTTTCTACTTTATTACCTAGAATAAGCCTTGTTTCATCTACTTGATGTTTTTTCTACAAATTTCTATTTTGTTAATTTCCATTTGTTGCTCGAGCAATCTCAGAAGAAACAGCAGACTTGCTGAAGGTAAATTATTTTGCAAAGACTTTTTGGCCTCTGAAAAAACATATACTTTTGCAGTCTCTGATTTGTGTGGTCAACAGATAACAAAGCTATTGCACATTTGGGGTCAGTTAGATAAGTGGTATTTTGTAGTAGATTAAAATTAGAATCACTTGGCTGAAGAAAAAAAATTACTAACCAAGAACATAGGTCTGCAAGCATTTTAACTGCTACATGTTTGGCTTCTCAAAATTGCTCAAGGTGGCATTCTAAAATAAAAGCATCCATCTATAGATTATCAGGTTCATTAGCAAACAGTTCTGGAGGATTAGCAAAATCTAGAAGGAACATCCGTTCCCTGTTGTTAATGAATATTTAGGTTTCCAAGCACTTTGTTGATCTTTATAAATTTACATTTTCTAACCAACTATTTATACCAGGTTCAACATGAGCTCTCACGAGTAAAAGCTCATGTTGAAAAATGTTGATTACCAAATGGCCTACTAATTCAGAAGCTTGCATGAACTTGTAAGCCATACAGTAATCTTTTGATTATTGCATTGCAACAATGCCTGTTCTGAGTTAATAATAGTTTTAATAGAGTGTTTCCACCTTCATCTACTGGTTTTCTCTTTATCCTCATAATTTATTCTTTACTTAATTTATTTGGCACCATCTTTTCAAGTTCAATGTGTACAAAAGGATGGTTTCTTGTTAAATGAAGCAATAAAAAAAGATTAAAAAGATTACAATCTTGTTGATCTTTTTTTATAGATTCATTTAACAAGAAACCATCCTTCTGTACACATTGAGCTTGAACAAATGGAATTAATAAATTAATAAAGTTACTGTATTTATATTTACCTATACTTATCCATATTTATCTATCTATACATAAGTTCATATAAGTTATTGGTATTTACTCTGAAATGATAAAACAAGTTGTTTTAAAATAAAACAATTTGTCAAATTGCCATTTTATAAAAAACCATTTTGTAATCAAACCATTTTTACTATTTCTTTTTCAAAGTTTACTGAAACTCATCATGTAGATTTTTCTGCTTTTTTTGCAAGATTAATTTATTGCAAGATTATTTATTAATCAATAAATTAATTTATTGCAAGATTATTTATTGCAAGATTAATTCATTGTTTTATAAATTCATTGGTTAACTCATTTTTTTATAAATTCATTGGTTAATTCAATTTTTGTTTTTGTCTGAATTTGCTAATTGCAATTCTACTCTTTAGTCTTTACAAAGGTTAAGTTAAATTAAATTTTATCAAAATTAAATTTTAAATATCATTCAAAATTTCTAATTGATTTGACTACACATGCAAATTAAATACTCATTTAAAATGTTGTTTTTGTATATATTACTATTTGTATGACCGTTAAGGGTTAAGAAGTGTGATTATATTATGTAAAAGGCTAGAATATTCTTCGATGTCAAGTAGATTGTAAGTTAAGTGGCTTTTTAATATTAATTTATACATATATATTTTTTGCCTGGATTATCATAAAATCAATAGGTTTTTTAACTGTATGTTACATGCCTGTTTTTCTTTATTTGTACTGCACAATAATCAAAAATGCCATAAAATATATAAATTTTGCCTAACTCACAAAACTATCAATACTTTTTAACAGTGTAAAAGTAGTTGTATTTGTAAGTCAAACTAAATAATTTTTATAAAACAGTAAAAATATTTTAAACAACAATTACACAAATTACCTTTTCAGGGCTTCCTTTTTCCATTTTCCAGTTATTGTATAGTAAACCTAAATTGCTTACCTAAAAAATACATTAACAGATAAAGATTTAGATAATGTGTTGTTAATATGAAGAGAGAAAGTTTATTGATTTAAAATAATTGTTATTTTTAGACAACTAATTTTTAACAATTATTTCCTTTAAAAAAAATTACTGTTATATAATTTATTATTAAAAATTCAAAATTTTTTAAAAAACTAAAAGTTACAAACTTATAGATATAATATCTAATTAACTATATGTATATTAGTTACAATGAAAATATATACTTATTATAGATAATAACTATAACATCCATTTATTTTAGTTCTTATTGCTCTCTTCTTTAGACTTTTGCTACTTTTGATTGCCTTTTTAGTTTAATTTATTCTTTGATATTATTTATTAATCATAACATAATTGTTTAATATTTGCTTCCTATAGCCTTAAATTATGTTGAACCATCCTCTACAAACCATCAAACCAACCTTGAACTATACTAATAAGAAATAATAATTTTTTATGGTAAATATCAACACTTGTGGGAATTTTAATTTCCACCCAATTGAACTATAAATCCCATTGACACTAAAACTGTAAGTTTGTACAAAAGCATTTTTAGTACCAGTTTTATGTTACCATGGGTAACATAATAAACTCGTTTTGATTCATACCCTGATTTTATACATTTAAAATTGTTCTAAAATTTTTCACATACAAGTTTTCAACATACATTCTGTATTTAAAGACTAAAAAACAAACATCATCATAGGATAAATGAACTGATGTTAAAATGTTCTCTCTTGTATTCATAAAGATTTTTTGCATCAGAAAATATTTTTTTTTCTGTTTTGATTGTTAACAAAAAATGTTGACAACTGTTATTTTTCAGAAATCTAGTTAATATAAGTAGACGAATTATGTCCAACAAAAGTAACCAAACACATGATCAAATAGATAAATGTGACAGAGGTTGAAGGTTGGCTGCAAGAGCAGGTTCAAATATGTTTACAATACATTTTTGCACATTGTCTAAAAGAGAAAGGGCATCATTAGAATATTTGCCCCAGATATGGCAACAGTATTCCATACAAGGCTGGATTTGAGATTTATAGAGATAGAGAATAGAATCCAGAGTAAGAAAGTGACAAGCTAGATAAAGAGAAGCAACTTTAGCAGATGCTAATTTTGCAAAGAATTTGATATAAGGTTTCCAAGAAAGATCAGAAGTAAGAGTTAATCCTAGAAGATGAAGGGTAGGAGACTCATCAAGTACATTACCGTTCATAAATATAGAAAGGTCTAAACTATTGGGATAACGATTGGCCAAAAAAAGGTTTATCTGAATTAAAGTTCACCAGCCACTGTGAGCCCCATGCTGTAGCAGAATTGAGATCCTTTTCAAGCTCAGATGCCCCCTGCAAGCAATCAGAGGGAGTTGGCTTTTTATCGTGACAAGAATAAATGGTAGTATCATCAACGAACAATGCCACCTTAGATGTGAGAATATCTGGAAGATCGTTAATGTAAATTAAAAAGAGCATAGAACCAAGGATTGAACCTTGGGGAGCCCCTGAGGTTACAGAATAAGAAGAAGAGTGCTGTCCATCAAGTACAACTTTTATACTACGATTGGAAAGGAAGGATTCAGTAATCTTAAAGATGTTTCCAGATACACCGTAAGAAGAAAGCTTATGGAGGAAACCAGCATGCCAAACTTTATCAAACGCTTTAGAAATGTCAAGAGCAATGGCCTTAACCTCTCCACCTTTATCTAATGTGCGATTAAAGTAGGTTATGGGATTCGAGATAAGAGATTAAGTGTTTGTTAATTAAAGATTCAAAAACCTTGCTTATGATAGGAAGAAGACTAATGGGATGGTAGTTAGATGAATCAGATTGCTCTCCAGAATTTTTAAAAATAGGGATAACAGATGCTGCTTTTCAGCAGGCTGGAAAACAAGACTCTGATAAGAATTTGTTAAATAGTTTTGAAAGGATAGACGACAGAGAACACTTCTGCAAGACTATAATAGGTATGTTGTCCGGGCCGCAAGCTGTAGAAGAGTCTAAGCGGGAAATCACTTTAGATACGGAAGCTGGAGTGATACGAATGTTGAGCAATTGATCAACCTGTTTGACGACTATATCAGGTAGAACGCAACTAGTGGCATCAAGAGATGATATTGATGAAAAGTTCTTGGCGAACAATTCAGCTTTGTCTTTAGGCGAGGTGACAAAGTCTGAACGATACAAAAGAGGTGGAATTACAGACTTGCCCTTATTATTGATACTATTAAAGATTCTCCAGAAGTCACGAGAGCCTAATTTTTGTGATGAAATACGAGATTTCATGATCTGAGAATAGCGGGCTTTGGCGTTAGACAAAATCTTTTTACAATGGTTCCTAGCAGTAATAAACAGATGTCTGTATGTTTATATGGAAACACAAAGAGTTAATTGTAGTTTTGTAATTATAATGTTACAAATTTTAAGGAAGTATTTGCCATCTGTAAATTTTTAATTGTTTTATAATTAATTTTCTTTTCTATTTTCAAAAATGCAAAAAAATTGTTGTGCTTTTGACTATTTTAAAATATCGCAAGTTTTAGTTGCAAATATCATATGCATTAATTGCGTGTGTGTGTGTGTGTGTGTGTGTGTGTATTTTAAAACATACTTAAACATATATCTAGTTTTACAGTTTGACTTTCACTTGAAAACTGCATTGCATTAACTTCTTCTTAATTTCTGATCTTAAGCATCTATTTCTGTTAAAAACAATTTTCATATAGTATTAAAATTTCGATGAACAATGTGCCAGCATGGCCAAGTAATTAGCGCGTTGAACTTCTGAACAAGAAAACCATGGTTTGAGTCCAAGGCCCGCCTCTTCTTTTAAATCTTTTAGAATCTTTAAAAACTATTTGTGAAATTAAACAAGTTAAATGTAACAAGTTATGTATTTTAAAACATACTTAAACATATATAAAGTTTTACAGTTTGACTTTCACTTAAAAACTGCATTGTGTAAACCTCTTCTTAATTTTTGATCTACAGCATTTATTTCTCTTAAAAATAAATTTTCTATGGTTTTGAAATTTCAACGACCAATATGTCAGCATAGCAGAGTGATTAGCGTGCTGAGTTTTTAAACAAGTAGGCCATGGTTCGAATGCAATCACCAGTGGCTCTTTTTTTTAATTTAAAAAAGTTTTTAAAATACTTGTGAAGTTTTATTAAGATTATATACAAACATATCTAATGCTTTTAAATATGTTTGTATCGCATTGACTTTCAGATTCATATAAATAAAAAAACTATATAGCTCATTAAGCCTAATGAAAATCGCTATCCTTTAGAACTGAAAATCTCTTCCACTTTTTTAAAAATTAATTTAGCGTTGCGTAGTGGGCGATTCCTTAGCGTTTTAGAGTTTATAGACTATAATGCTCTAAGATCTTCATTGTTCTGCTACTCTATTATAAAATAATATTGCTATTATAAAATAATAATAAACTGCAATACTGTTATAAAATTTTTGCTATAAATATTGCTATAAATGCAGCAAAAATGAAGATTTTTCAAAATTTATTAGGGGATGTATTAAATCCCCCAAACAACACTGGTGACAGCGCACTAAACCACTGAGCTATCAATGATATGTGTTTAGGAGAAAACAAACCTATTTATAAATCTCTTATAAGCTCTAGGTATGTTGAAAGGGTGCACATGTTAACTTTTTTGCTCTTAAAGCAATTTTTTTAAATGAATTATTTTATGTAAAAATATTGAAGTAAACAAATAATAGGTATAGGCATGATTGGTGTGGAATAGGTAAGTATAGAAATGGTAGATTTGGTAAAGACCCATATAATTTATGGGTCCGGAAAGCTAGGAGATATATATAAAGAAAAAGTAAAGAAAAATTCAGTGTGGAATAGACTTACAACGACCTGTATTCTTACGGGTCAGATTAGCTAATATATATATATATATATATATATATATATATATATATATATATATATATATATATATATATATATACACATATATATTGTTTGTAAATAAAAAATAGTTTCAATGATTGTAAAGATTTTACTTTCTGTGTGGCTTTGATTTGATTCATAACTAAAGAAAGTTTAACTATATCATGGTTCTACCATGGAATTGGGTTTAATAGCAATAATCCGCAAAATAATGCACACGAAAAAAAAATTAACCTAATGAGTAAAACCTTAGTAAATCCAAAGATTGCATCCAGTTAGGGATCTTCCATAAAGTACAGATGTAGATATAGATATCTACATCTGTACTTTATGGATTATCAGATAAAATGTATTAATTTGTACAAGGGGTGTTGAAGACAGCGAGTACATACGTGGTTTAAGTATCTCTTCTTCTCTATATTTCCTAAAAAAAGTAATATAATAACAAAAGCATCGAATTCTACAAGTTTAAGATATCAAAATTATGTTATGTAACACAAAAATGATAACTTAAACTATTACAATTTTTTAACTTTTAATATTTTTTAATGATTTTGTAATAAATAACGCAAATGTACGCAGAAAGGAGGGGTTGTTAAAAGCATTCAGGTGTGTAGAAGAGGGAGGGGTTCTAAATTAGTGGTTATACTGCATACATACTTTATGAATCTCCCCTTCTTATTGCAGAAAAAAGGATTTGGGATGAAAGTGAAGGATTTCTTGTCTGAACCACTTTTAGACTTCAAAGATTCATTTCAAAACCTTCAAGTCCATCTAAATGATGACATGTTATTAAATGTTCAGTATTTTAGTTATATATACAATATTTAAATTTAATATAAATAAAAAAAATGCCAATTAATATTAATTTGAATATTAGCTGATAATATTTTAGTAATACAACTAAATAAAAGTTTTTTCAAATTTAGAAAAAAATAATTTAAATAATGCTTAATTTTGTTATAAATATTATATTTTTACTTTGAATATTTATAATTATATTAATTTTATTATATATATATATATATATATATATATATATATATATATATATATATATATATATTTATATATATATATTTATATATATATATATATATGTATATATATATATATATATATATATACATATATATATATATATACATATATATATATATATATATATATACATATATATACATATTTATATATATATATATATATATTTATATATATATATATATATATATATATATATATATATATATATATATATATATATATATATATATATATATATATATATATATTTATATATATATATATATATATATATATACATATATATATATACATATATATATATATATATATATATATATATATATATATATATATATATATATATATATATATATATATATATATATATATATATATATATATATATATGTATAAAATATATATATGTATATATATTTTAACTTGACTACTTAAAAAAATATTTACCATAATTTTACTTTGTAATAATGCATTAACTGTATTGTTTTTGAATTTACCAAGTAACTCTATAGATTTATTCTTTTGAAGAGCATTCAGAAATATTCTTACAATCTCTAAATACAAAATATATGTAAATTATTTTTTCATAGAAGAACATTAAAACTTTTTTTTCACATTTTCTAAATACAAAAAAAAAAAAAGCTTCAATTAACTAATTTAGCTGGCAAGTTTAAGCTTTACAATTTAGGTGAATCTTTTTTAAGCAAACTTTCTAGCAAGTGAGCAAAGTTGTTAATAAAAGACCAAAATTATTAAACGATAATATATAAAAACACAATAAACAGTTAATTTAAAACTTCAATTTTGTCATTGTATCAAAAAAATTAAATGTTTTATTTATATTTTTACATCAGTTTGGATGTAAAAATGTAAATAAAACAAGAAGAAAAAGATGCATTTAGTAGTTATACTCAATTACTGAATGTAGTACAGTAAAGTTGAGTAGAGAATAGTAGTTAAGTAATGTTGAGTAGATAGTATTATTTGTGTACAGTTAAGTAAAGTGTTGTAGTTAAGTAAAGAGTTGTAGTTAAGTACAATTGAGTAGATTCTATTATTGCATTCAATAGTCGTACTCTAATCAATTTCACTAAAACCTGGAAACCAAACTAATAATGCAAACTTAAAATAAACATTCTAAAGTGTACTGCAAAGATAAAGTTTGAAACTGTCTTTTGCAGTCTAAAAATTGTGTTTGATAAAAAAAAGATTTAAAGATGTAACTAAAATTTTTATTTGTTTTGTTTTAAACATCATTTATAGGATTTTAAGTCATTTTAACAAAAATGTAAAAAAAATAATAATAAAAAGACTTTACAAGTTGACTATTTTTATTGATTATTGAAAAAACATTTTGTCCAACAATTAAATTTTGGACAAATTTAAATCTTACAAATTAATCTAATGAGCATGCAAACAAGAAATTAAAGTATGTTGTGTTAGTGTTTTAGCTAAAACTCAATTAAAACCAGAAAATCTTGGAAGTTTTTGATAACAACAGAAAAAAAAACTACCTTCACTATTAAAATCATTATGAATACGATTGTAAGCCATTGAAATATTCACATAAAGCATATGGAGTTTTTGATCATTCTGTAAATCTTCTTGGATATTCTGAAAAACTGATGCATTTGTAATAATAGGCTCAATTTCATGAACAAGTTTGTATAAACTAAAAATATGAATATTTATTACTAATAAACTATAAAATATAAATAACTATATTATTAATATAAATAAAAGTATTTCATTGGTAGATAAAGTATACCAATGTAACACTCTTAGTATTGGTAACACAATTAGCCACAATTTATTTCTTTTAAATATAAGAAAAACTTTTTTTTTAAATAACAATCAATCAAATTTATTGACAAATATTTAAAAGTTTATTGACCCAAATTATTAAATAACATTATTTACATTAAATAACATTATATAATTATATTATACATTAAATAACATAGTTATATTAATATATTAATTATAATTAAAAAATAAGAGTGTGAAAATGGACTATATATAGGCGTTACTAATTTCAATAAATACTACATGAATATTTAAGCCATGAGACAAGTTGACAGAAAAACAGGAATAAATATACTAAGATTTTTCTTAAATCAGAGTCGGTTAAGTGTCCCAAAAAAACTTAATAATATACAACACAAAAATGTGTTCCAAAAACTTAGAGAAATTGAAACTAGAGTGATAGGGTAATAATTAGCGGAATCAGAGATGTCTTCATTCTTATAGTTTGGATGTCTGAGGGGAGACAGATAATAAATTTTAAATATAAAACAATTTTATAGCTTTATATTTTATTTTAGGAAAGAGTATTTTGAGTTCTTCAGTCAAATATTTTTATCTGCCATCTTCAATTTTAAAACAATAGCTGGTCTCTTTGTTTACTATCAGGTGTATAATACAAGGTGGTAGAAATAAAAGAGGAGGGTGGAGTCAAAAAATTATTTTTTAATAAATAGGTGGAGGGGGGAGGACCTTATTAAAAAGGTTAGTGGGTGTTTTTTCTTAAACAATTTTTTCTTAATAAACGAGGGCTTGTATTGATAGAAGAGAAAGTGGCTTGTGGCCAAAACTCGCATTTTATAATAGCTGTTTTATTATAGTTTCAATAGGATTTAATATGCTTATATAAGTTATATACCAAGGTGAGGAATACGTACGAATAATACGAATAATACGAATGGAACCAAATGCTCATTTTCGATCACACTGTAATTTATGATATTCTTTTTATAGTTGACAATTTTTGAAGTCCGATTACACTGAAAGTTCTTATTTTTATCATGAGTTTGTAAAAAATAAAAAAAGATGCAATCTTAGGAAGATGATTACAAAAAGTGACTGACACTTGGCAGATAGAGCAGATTCAACTTCATTTACAATGCATTTTTGACCTTGTCTAAAAGAGAAAAGTATTATTAGAGAAACCAGCTAAGGTTACTGTTGTTTTATACGGATATGCCAACAATATTGCTCAGGACTCAGTAAGAGGCTTGCAATTTATCAATATAGGAATGTCAACAATATTGCAATAGTTGTTTGCAGTAATTTGAGTTGGAGTTAAAATTCAACGTATGGAGAAGACCAGCATGTCAGACTTTATATAAAGCTTTTATTATAGGGTTACATATCACTGGATTTTCCCGGAGATCTCCTGATTTAATGCAAAAAATAAGTCTTCGGGGGATTTCAGGAAAAAAAAAGAAATCTCTTTTGGAGGTTTTTATAAAAATTCCATAGTAAATATCTAATTTTTTAATATATATAGAATTGAAAATTTAGAAATTTTTAAATGTAAAATGCTTTTAGTCACTTTACCAACTTATTGAGAATGCTCAAACAACACAGATTTTTTCTCAAGATAACATAATATGTAAAAATGTGCCCGTACATAAACTTGCAAAAACAAAAGTAACATTAAGGTTTTAAAGTATTTTGGTTATAAAAAAAAGATTGTTCCTTAAATTTAAAGTTTAATGTTTAACTTAAATTAATAGGAGATAAATTAATTAGAATTTCAAATCCAAACCAAAACGTATAAAAGTATAGCTGCACTTTCAATGATTTCCAAAAAAAAATGTTTTTTAGTTTTAAGAAAGGGGGAAATGATTGTGAAACCGAATTTGCCTTATTGGAAGATATATTTAAACAAATTTGCTTATTTTAATCTTATTTATCTAATGCATCTTACAATGATAAATAGGGCAAAGGTTACGCAAGCAGCGTAATCTTTGACCTATTAGTAGTCCCAATACCAAGAGGTAAAAGCTTTTGTTAGATGACACTGGACAATACTCCTATTTGGGATAAGGTTAAAGTCTCGATTTTATTTTTAAATGAAAAAGCTTCATTTTAAGTTTCATGCAGTTTTATTTTATAAGTTTATTGCATTCCAAACCACAACGCCTTAACAGAGTGATTGTTTTCGCCAATTGGAAAAATTCCAACGGAAAAAAAGTAGATTATTAGTTGAGCGCATTATTATTATAAAAATACAAAATAATTAATCTTATGCAAAAACTTCATATTTATTTTAATCTAAGGAACTTGATGATTATAAAAATACTTTTTAATATTTTTCATTATTACGAATAGGCGAACATTTACGCTAATCGACGACATCAACTTTTGCATAGTGTCTTTGGAAATTTTTTTTCCTACTAATGTCTATTCTTTAATCAAATCTTTAGCTTTATTTTTGCCATTCTTACGCAAACATCCTTTTCCAATTCCCAAAAATTTCTCAATGGGACGGAACTGTGGGCAGTTTGGTGGATTCAAGCTTTTTGGTTTGAATATGATGTCTCTCGGATAGTACCACTCTTCAGTATTCTTTGAATAATTACAAGAAGCAAGATCAGGCCAGAACTAACAGGGGACATTGTGACTTTGATAAAATGGAAAAATTCTAGCTTGCAAGCAGAGGCGTAGATAAATTTTTTTTTTGTTTGAGATAGGTAACTTCCAGACATGGAGCAAACACCAAACGTTTATATTTTTATACTTACGTCAAATAATGAGGCTTTGCAAAAAAAATTGCGGTGATTGGAGGCTGGGAACAAAAAAGCCCCAAAATTCTCGCCCCCCTGCTCCAAACGTGAGAGCAACAAGTTGCTATAATATTTTTTGACTAGACTTATATTCATCGATAAATTTTAAGTTTCATCGTAAAATCTCTGAGCGTTTAATAGTTATGAGGTTTGTATAGTTTGAACCCGTTCAATTTGAGGGGGTGTCAAAATTTAAACTGTCAATTTATGAACGCTAAAATAATTATACCATGAAACTTAAAATTTATCGATGAATATAAGTCTAGTTAAGAATAGTACAAAAAATATTTTATCAACAAAAAATATTTTATTGAAATATTCTGACTCGTAAATTAATGTTTTTAATTAATAAAATCATTATTATTAATATTTTTATTATTAATATTTTTAATTAAAAATATTATTAATATGTTTTTAATTAATGACTTTATGAAAAAGAAAAAAACCACTGGCTTACATTGTCTGGTGGAAATTTAAAGTCACCACAATCTATTTAAACGATTTAAAGTATTTAACTTTTCAAAAAAAATAATGTTTTTTCTAACATATTGCTTTTATTACATTCATTTCTATATTCTTAACCAGCATATATTGCTAGTCAAAGACGTTTTGGTATTATTAGAAATTTATAATTCTAGTTGTTCCAAATTATCAGATATTACTACACTAGCATTTCAAAAACTATATCAACAAAACATTTCAAAAACTATATCACCAAACTGAAGTAAAGATGGAAAATATTAGAACTACAAATTGGTGCTTCTAGAAGATCAATGTCTACATCAGCTCCACAACCTTTTATGTTCAAAAGCAAGTTGTTACTATATTTATAAATGTTGCAGTACCTTTATATTTTGAAATTATTTGAAAATTTCATATACAGTATCGGACAAAACAAGTGGAACCAAATAATGCTAATTTAGTTTTTTTATATAAAAGTGCTGCATTTTTTCAATTCAGAGAAATAACTATGAAACTGTTGCTGCCCAAGCCTCTTGGATTTTTTCAAACAGTTGATCATTATTACGAACACCTTCACGATTAATTCTGCGGTTGACGATCTCCCACAGGTTCTCGATAGGGTTGAGATCCGGAGATTTAGGCGGCCAATCCATCACCGATAGGTGGTTGTCTTGAACCACTGTTTGACTAGTTTTACAGTGTGTTTTGGATCTTTACCTTGCTGAAAAACCCATTTTATTGGCATATTCCATTCAGTATGAGGTAACATAACATCTTTCAAGATATTTTTATACATGAAACGGTCCATTATTTCATCGATTTGATGTATTGGACCTAGACCGTTAACAAAAAAATACCTCCAGACCATTACATTGCCTTCACCATGCTTCACGGTCTTATGGCAGTAATGTAAATCGAGGCGTTTTCCGGCCGTTCGACGTACACGACCAATGTCATTGCTCCCAATGATGTTGAACTTCGATTCATCACTGAACAGGACAGTTCGCCATTTCAGTAATATGAGATGTAGCAAACAAGAATCTTTTCTTTTGGTTCTTTAGTGAATTCAGCGGTTTCTTTGCAGGGCGTCAAGAAAATAATGCGGCTTCAACAGCACGTCGTCTGATTGTTCGTTCTGATACAGGCAGCTCTAATTGCTTTTGTATCTCGACTGATGATATCCAGGGATCCTTCTTGACGGATCTGACGATCATAGAATCCTCTCCAGAAGTGGTGGGAGGCGGTCTTCCACCTTTGTTATCTGCTGCCAACTACCCCGTCGAATGATATTTGGAACATAGTATCGATACGGTCCATTTTTTCACGCGATATTTATCACAAATACTTTTTTGTGACATTCCACTTACGTAATTGCCAATAATTTTCTTTCTTAGTTTCAATCCAAGACTGTCTGGAACCATTTTTGCACTTGAAGTCATAAAAATAATAAAAATAAATAATCATGCTTCTCAAGGCTTACCGTGTTACATTTACCTTGTGATGATACAATAATGCTCTGTGGAACACAAAGTCTCGGTTGGATGTGGACTGTATTGATGTAATTAAACACTTGTTGTATTTCACTTTTTGTATTGATGTTCTTTGGTAAAACACTTTGATAAAGCTCACTTCGATAAAC